GTCGTCCGTCTCTCTCTCTCTCTCTCTCTCTCTCCAATATTTCATCAGACAAACCCAATGAACTATTGAGTACACCCCACTCGAATCAATCAAAAATACATTTCTCTGTTAAAACGAAAAAGGAGAATTGCATGCATAATTCAGGTAGGTAATGAGAAAACAACCTGATTAGCCTGATCAGGAACACTGCATCCCCACATTCCATCTTCGTCAATGAGATGCTCGTCCTTGAAATTTGTAGTGTGTGGATACATAAGCAAAGATGTGAATGGAGTATGCTGCAATGAACCATCGAGTAGATCAGCATCTCGTGAATTTGGGGGCTCAAGATTTCTCGAATTGAAATTTCCATTAGGTGTATCAGGATCCAAATTGGTTGGAGACTCCAGATCACCATGGACTTTATCTGAATTTGATAAGTCATGCTTCAACAGCGCCATAAGCTGCTGAAACACCAGTTGCTTGCGTTTCCCACATGTTGGATTCTGGTCCTAGAAACGCACCAAAAGAAATAGAAAGACAATTAGCAAGCAAATCAATAATGTCTAAACTTCATAAGAAACCATCACTAGACAGCAACAAGTACGAGAAGGTCTAGCAGATACAGACCATTAGTTGCAAAACAGTATCTCAGCAAATTCTTGAAAGCTTAGAAACTCAAAATTTCTTAGATTCGACCATTAGGGCTGTCAGGGAGTTTCCAAAAAGATCATGTAAATAGACAGAAACAAATTCATCAAAACTACTAAATTTGAAGCAACTGAAGTAGAATGTTCTAGAAAAAATAATCATCTTCATTACTTATCGTCTCAGCAACAAATCATTGTTACTAGCAATCTGTTGATAATATTTAGCAAAAATTATTGAATAAAAATTGTGAGTATTGCGGGAGTTTTCTCAAGAAACAGTAAAGGAGCCATGACTATGGTACAATCAATAGTTTTACCTTTTTCATGAGGAAGAATATCACGAAAAGCTAAACACAGGTAAGTTTACAGGCCTGAGATCTTGCTCATGAAATATTAGATTAATAGAACCCTAAGGCTTGTTCAAACTTCAAAGTTTCAAACTTCTTTCTAGCGCGATTTACTAAGAGATCCACTAGAAATATCAAACTGTCACATGTTTCAAGGCCATGAGTTGTATATTTCATCGAAAAATCTACATAGTTTCCTCAACTTCATCGAATTTTTTTTTTTTTTAAATTCATCTAAAGAGCATTTGCCATGTATTTTCAAAGCTCAAATTCTATCCCCAATCTCAAACAAATTTTTCCATAAATCATGATGTGATAATGGGTGCAGCTAAATAAATTACAAAAAAAAAAAATCCAAATAGAAGACAATTAAATCATACTAAACGCTCCAAATATTGGATGAAAAAGAAAGCCAAGGCAACATCTAGGAGTGCACACAAAAGTCAATTGCACAAGAGAAACCAAAAACATGGAAAGTAACAGCGGAAGAAAGAAATATCAAATTGTCACATGTTTCTAGAACGATTTACTAAGAGATCCACTAGAAATATGAAATTGTCACATGTTTCAAGGCCATGAGTTGTATATTTCATTGAAAAATCTACATAGTTTCCTCGACTTCATCGAAATTTGTTTTTTTTTTAAATCATCTAAAGAGCATTTGCCATGTATTTTCAAAGCTCAAATTCTATCCCCAATCTCAAACAAATTTTTCCATAAATCATGACGTGATAATGGGTGCAGCTAAATAAATTACAAAAAAAAAAAAATCCAAATAGAAGACAATTAAATCATACTAAACGCTCGAAAAAAAATCCAAATAGAAGACAATTAAATCAATTGCACATGAGAAACCAAAAACATGGAAAGTAACAGCGCAAGAAAGAAAGCAATTAGAAATGAGAAAAACATGGCATTATGAAACAAAAATTAAGAAATAAAAAGAAAAAAAGAGAGGAAAAAAAATGATTTATCATACCTTAGAGAGAGAAGGAATCTGGACACAAGGAACATCAAGATAAGCAGGCAGCCCAACATTACCACTAGGAACAATCAAATCATGGAGATTCACAGGTGATTTACAGATCCAAGAGTCCATCGTGACCATCGACTCCATTGGATTCAGGGTTAGGGGTTCATTCCTACAGTACCCATTTTCCGATGGCTTATCGCTCAAATCAAAACCCCATAGCAAAGCAAGCTCCAATGGAGAAGGCAAACCAGAGAAACCCTCTATAGATTGACGATGATGAGAAGACACAGAATTACAGTTTCCATGAATATCCCAATCACATTCTTGACATAGAACTAAGTTCTCAGAGCAACAACGCATGGACACTGGTTCAGAGGAACAGTTATCACAGAGAAGAGAGCGAGAGTGTTTTTTGGATAGAGCATTTGCAGAGTGGACATGTTGATCGCAAGACAAGCAGAGCTTTGCACTATCGGCCCTGCAATACAGGACGGCCTTCTCTTCTCCACAATAATCGCAGAGTGTATCGACCGTTTTCTTAGGGGTTTCCATTTGTAAGAATGAAGAGAGAGAGAGAGAGAGAGAAAGAGGAACAGGAAAGGTTTAAGACGAGGAGATGAGCATCTTATAAAGAAAGGAATGGGGAAATGCTAACCTTCAATGGTAGTTTCTCTCTCTAGGAATCCTGAAACAGCCATGCCAAATGATGGTTTCACTCACTAGAATCTGAAACAGTTTCTCTCACTGGAATTATGAAACACTGAATCTTCTCACTAGAAACTCAAAAATACTGACTTTGACAATTGTTTCTCTCACTTGTAAAAAGTACCGATAACCATTCTACGAAGTGGCAAGAAGTAAAGGAAAACTAACCCTAAATGTTTGTTTCTCTCACTTGGATGATCCCTGACTCTCTCTCTCTCTAGAATACCAGGAGCATCATAACCTCTCAATGCAAATTCTCAACAGCGTGTTATGTTTTTACTATCATGGACATCAAAAACTCTGAAACCCTAACTGAGAAAAACTATAATATAACAAAAATCATGAAGAAGGAAAACCCAAAAACCGCTTTATCAAGGAATTCCATGACAAGGTCTACACTTGTTTCATGGGGAACTTAAAGAGTCACTGATTAACTTGCAGACGAAGTATCAGAAAACCCAAACCCAAACCCTAATTGAATACGACGTAAATGTTAATAACACAGGGCAGCTCAGCGGATGACCCTGGAACCAGGAACTACCAAACCCATAATACACAAGAGACTTGCTGAAGTGTAGGATGAAGAAATGACCTCGTCTTTTACATCTTAATTTTTCCTGCCTTTTTTTTCACTTAAATAACTTAAAGTTGAGGCCCTTGTCCTTTCTCAAAATGACCAAAACATCTTAATTGAATTACAAACTAGTATATACCTCATTATTACAAACATAAGATAATAAAAGGATTCATGGATATATTATGAAGTACCCTTGACTAATTTCTACTTTACTTTTTTGACTAATCACGTGAAATACCCCTACACAAATAGTTAATACAATATAAATAAGCATATCTAATAGTCTAAAAATATTGACGAATCCAAGGATATACATCACTTGTGATGTAACGTAGCAAAACCCTGTTACGAAAAAAACATGTCAATTTATTAATAATAGACTTTTTGGATGAGGGCCTCAGCATAGGGAAAATGTCCCAACAACATATAAGTTATATACGACCTTACTTCTTAGATTTTTTATTTGAATCGAACCACCATGGCTGTTCATACCACAAAGTCATGTCAAACATTGTTTTACTTTTTATTTTATTTTTTACAAAACTTTTTTTAAAGAATTTCGGAAGTTCCATCAAAAAATTAGGGCGAACATAGAAAAATAAAATATTTTATGTAAAAATAACGGACCAAAATACCTCTGTAATTTTTAGGGGTATTATGGTAATTTTTAATATCGTAAATATTTTTTTAATATTCTTATCATGTGTGCCCTTGTTAGATTTATGCATGTCTCAAATTTTGCTTCAAAATTATTTGTAGAATAAAAATAAAAAACTATGAGCCGTCTGATCAAAATCTAATAGTTAAACACTAGCTTATGACATTGTGACTCAGTCATCCCAACCATCGACTCAGATCTGATGGCTGAGACCAGAGGTCACATATATCATATACATGGGTGGGGTCACATAGAAAGCGCTCCCTTGACATAGAGAGGCAATGAAGAGGTGCAAGCAACGCACATAAATCCAAAGAATACCCATGGCCAATTTTATTTTATTTATTTTTAGGTAACTCAGATGGAAAGACATACTCCTATTAGTTTTTTCAAAGAGTTTAGGAATTATTATTATTATTATTTAAAAGTGTTATGAGGTGGTATAGGGAGAATAGAAAATACAATGTGGTAATTAGAATGTAGGGGAGCTAGCATTACGACCCCAACTCTTCCCCAAAAGCGAACTTTTGTTTTGTTTTTTTTTTTTTTTTGGTTAGTTTAATGGGGACCGGGCCCATAGCCAATCAACAAAAGAAAAATCCCCTTTCACCTAAGTTTCATATTTGAGGTCAAACAAACCTTCTATGTAAAATGCACCACACAAAACACACAAATGTATATATATAGTGCTCTAGCATAAGTGCGCTGTACATTTATTCCATTAGACAAAAGTGCTACTCCGAGATCTTTTCTTATATTCTTTAAAAAGTGGATTTTGTATTCCCAAACACTTATTAGACCTGACGACCAAAAATATTATATGGTTTCCATTCAATCATAGGATGGTATTTCTTCATACGTACATAAAATAATTTATTTTATTTTTTTTGGTGAATGTAGTCACTAGGTAGAGGAGGTTACTAAAATATGGAGTCCTTGCCTGCGATTTTACCCACATAGTAAAGGGATGATACGCTCCTTGGGGCATTAGTATAAGAGAAATATACACAAATATCCCATATATTTTTGTTTTATTGGAAAAAGGCTATAATGATGATAATGAGATGCATCATCTTTTTTTCTGTATTTTTTCTTCTTAATTTATCATCACTTCATAACTTCAATATCCGAAATCGCAAAGTGATTTTATAACTTTGGATTTTGAAAATCTCAAATAGGCTCTTATATGCCTTTTTTTGCCTCAAGTTTTTTTGAAAATTTGTTTCATGCGGTAGGGACCGCATTTCTACATTTACGGTCCCCGAGGTATAAAGCATTCATCTTAAAAATAAATGCAAATAGGTGGTCCATCTAAAAACAATTAAAACTAATGATCCAACTATTTGATTAATATAATTATTATTTCTAATTTTGAAAATTTATTTATTTATTCATATTCATGATTTCCATATTAGAGATTGCATGTCCTTAAAAATTAAGTTCAAAAATCCATCTCAAAAATAAATTTTTAACAGGAGACTCATTTCTACATAGACTCATAGAAACCGTGTCCATCTTTTTCTTGTATTTTTATATTGCAAGTTTGTCACACCACTTTCAGCTTCAAGATTCGAAGTCACCCATGAATTTAGATATGGAAGATCCAAAATCACATATATGTAACATGACTTTGTATCTTTAAAATCTGAAATTATTGGTGACTTCAAATCTTGTAGATCCGTAGTGGTGGGAAAATAAAGCATGACTTTAGATATGCAAGATCTAAAGTCAATAAAATAGTTTAGTCAGTTCAGATCTTGAAGATATGAAATAGTAGTTATTTAGACATT